TTTCCCCTTGGCTAAGTTCAATAGTGTTTCTTGGAACAGAGCATTCTGAGCTTGGAGATCTTTGACTGTTTGTTCAAGAGCCGTCTTTTCTGCTGAAATAAATAGCAAGAAGATGAGAAAACCTGTTTTGGGAATACCTGTTATGTAATACATGGTATGTAGATGCATATGCAATGTTTTCAAGGATCTCGCGGGATAAGAAATTTTTGAAATGTGGATCTGGCTGCAGTTTTGTCTGAAGAACTTGGCATCTTTGTTTTTGAATGTCCTTCTTTAAGAATCAAGCTCACCATATCAAGTGGGTCTTGTCTTATGACTCAAGAAAGCATACTTCGGTATTTGACGGCATATGGTTAGAGGAAAATAAATCTCCTTTCCCCTTGCAAGCAATCCGACTTATGATAATCCTGCGTCAAAGGTCTCTAAGATCCTTGAAATGGTTAGTAAAAATGCCATGTCATGATGATATGATGTTGTGGTGTCATGTTTAAACAAGTAGCAAACACAAACAAATCACACATGAACCTTAGGTTTAAAGGCTTGCATAAGGTCCATAGGTAAGTACCCTTCTCTACTGAAGTTAAGTTGGCTCAACATGTCCTAAAATAGTAACCAGGTTCTAGGGATCTCATATCACCTCTCTTTCTCGCAAATTTTATTTTAGCACGAAAACTGACTTTCCACCCAAATATCTCGAAAGTCGAATCTCAATGAGTGTAGCTTTGAGTATCAACCAACCTTGGATTGCACCAAAGCCTGCTATCTCACTACCTTCTAATGACTAAGATGGGTCAATTAAGGTTCTAAAAGTCAATTAGCGCTTAATGACACCACGCGGCAGCCTAATGTTATCCTTGACTGACTCAAGGAACATCAGTACACACCAAAGCATCACACTAACATAGCCATCATTTCAACCATATCGGTCTACGCTGTCAAGTTTCCATGATCTATAGCTACTTACCTAAGGCATCCCTAGATCCGGGTGTAGCATCTTGTAAGAAATTAAACCCAAGCAAACCCTTAAAATAAAGCAAACAATGTAAACAATTAAAGCAAGTAAAAGTGATCTAAACTCTAAGGTAACCCCTCTTTTTTCTAAGTAGTCCCCAGCAGATTTTCCAGTTCTGTAATACGGTGGGAGAACTAACCTTCTTAGCATTTTATCACAAATGTTGCGGATAGCAAGAGTCGCCACAGACTTTTCTTTTATCCAATATTTAGGAAAGGTGAAAAGAACAGGAAAGACATTTGATAGATTTTGAGTTTGGGCGTAAGTTATGAAAAGGGTTGGTGTTAGCACCCTTTTCATTCGTAGTTATCTACGGGATCTTAATCGCTTAGCTCACTTTTTGAAAACTTGCTTTTTTTTATATGAGATTTGAAAATATTTGGTAAAGCCAAAGTACGACTAACTTTGTAATAATTCTTGTATCGGTCCTCAAGAATGTATACAAAGTGTTTGAAAATATTTTGCTTGAAACATATGATGTGAGAAATGTTTTTTTAAAGAAAAGATTTGTGAGCAAGCGATTAAAAGTTTCTTACCCACTCAAGGCCGTTCTAATTCTTTTCCTTCTCCTTTAGAGATAGTGATATCCATATCATTAGTTAATAGGTAGCCCTATCTATTGGATGTGAAGGTACGGGTGAAGGGTCATCGTATGGTCATTGAAGACAACATGTAGAGATACTTTAGAAATTATATCGAAGGGGCTAGATCATTTTTCATAGGCAACATCGAAGGGTCATCAAGGACTATGATCTTTATTCGAGAGTCTTTTGCTAAAGCATCCCTACTTTTGAGGGACATGACCATTATTTCGAAAGGCAATGAAGAGAGGTTACCCTAGAGGTGTAAGTGTAAAAGTGTGTTCAGTTCAATTATTTAATCTTGAGAATCAGGTTTTTCTATCGGTTCATTTTAGTCTTGCCATACAAACCCTAATTACTAGCAATTGCATAAAAAATATAAGAGCAGAAGGTAAAGTGTGGAATGTAAACCTAAAACTATTACATGGCTTCGGGGAAGTTACATAAGAGTGGAAGATGCGGGAAAGTAAACCCTAAAACTATTACATACTCGGAGCAGTTACATAATAGGAAAAAACGCGAGAAATCTACGCTACTACAATCGATAATTACAACCTATACAATTGATATAGGGATGTAAATAAAAGAAGGAAAAGAAATAAGAAAAATAGAAGCTTGAATGTTTTTGTGGTTTTTTTGGGGAAAAATATAGTTTATAATAATAATAATTAAAACCTAAAATTCTAATTAATTTTAATATTAACAAAGATTAATTAGTTAAATAAAAAATGATTTAAAGGTTAATTAAAAAACTAAACGTAATTAATTATGGTTAAGAAGGGTTTGTTTTTTAGGTTAATTATAAAGGAATTTGGGTTAGGGGAAGAAAAATCAAGGAAAAGGATTAAAACCAAAAAAAGGAAAAATATTGCCTTGGGTGGGTGTTGACCCACGCCCTCCTGCCTTTTCCTTGCATAGCTTCCCACCAGGCCAAGCGTCTGTTGGTGTCTGAAGAATGGGTGTTACATAAAATATGTTAAACCTACATAAATTGGAAAATATGAAAAAAAACAAAGTTACAAAAGGCAGGGATCGAACCCACGTCCTTATAGATCAATGCCTTAACGTGTGCGCTCTTGCCACTGGGTGGCTATTATATCTAGTAGTAGAATGAAAACAAATAAATATAAAATAAAAATAAATGAATGGGTCGGAGAGGCATCGGAGCCCTAGCGTCGGTCGTCTTCTCCGGCGAGCTTGTTTCTTCAATAATTTAAAACGGCAACTGTTAACGATCCAAAGGAATCCTACCCCCCTAATTTGACCATTGCGAGTTCAATGGTGGCCTTATTTTTTACTAAATCTCCCTGTATAAAGAGATATAGTCAGAATAAAGTAAATCGGTGCAAACATGATGATGCACGATTCCAGCATCATGGGACTCATGCGATGGTTTAAGCCTGCATAGTTTTGTCTCAAAAACACATTACACATGTTAGTTTTGATAAATGCATAATAAAAACTAAAATATGAAATTCAAGGAAACATGCAAATCGATGATGCATGCAGTGCTCGTTTCAGGCCTCTTTCATCATCAATGATGATCTCAACTTACTCTGTAATGTCCCTATAGTCGATTTTGATGGTTATTTGGCCTTGAGGACAGCTGTAGATAAGGCTTTCGATTTTCCCTAGTTTGACAAAAACTTGAGACTTTTTTGGGATGTTTTCTTGCAAGGGTTCCATGGTCCTTCTTGTCTGAATATAAGGTATATTTATAAGGGAAGATTAGGTCAAGAGAGATGGGCTTGGACCTTGTATGAAACCTTTGATTTTTGTTTGAAAATAGAAATTTGAATAAGACAAAACATGAATATTCGATGCAAAAGTAAATTCCACATGGTTTCTTGCATGATCTTGGGCCTCCAAAGTATTTGAAACAAAATCCTTTTAAGCCTTACACCTCCCTTTAATATTTATTTAATTTAATTTTGAATTTAAATGAATAAAATCAAAATAAATGAAATAAAAGATTAAAAGGGGTGTATGAGTAGATTTAGAGGTTCATTATGAGGTATATAACACATTTAGACCTTAAAAGATAAGCCCATTAGCCCAAAAATTCAATTCTGGTCAATTTGGGTTTCATGCATTTTCTCGAAATTTCTTAACTTGCACCAATCATAACTCTCTCAATTTTTATCATATGAAGGTGATCCTAGACTTTATGTAAAACTCAAGATGTCCCCTACAATCTCTATGTTGGTAATTTTTCCATTTGAAGAATTTATCTTGATGTAAATTGCTTTGATAAAAAGTGTCTTTTTGTTGACTTTTGAAATGACATAAAATGTTTTGGCCCATATCTCTCAAGTAAAGCATTTATGGACTTGAGCTTAGAGAGACAAAGATGTAGATAATTGAATTTCCATCAAAATGGGATTTGGTTGAGAAAAATATGATGAAGTATATGAAAGTAATGCTTGGTCAAAGTTCAGTTGACTTCTCCTTAAAAAAACTATAATTTAGCAACTTTTGACTTTTGATGAATCTTGAGTTTTCTTGAGAAACAATGATCAACCCTTAATCAAATGATGAATGTGACTTTAAAATATTGATGTTAACCAAAAATCTTGAAGTTTGACTGTATGTTGACCATAATTGACTTTTTTGTCCAATACAATTGATTTTCAATCATCTGAGTAATTGAATGAGCAAACTTGTGATGCAGGACTTGAAACTTGTCATGAGGGTACCTTGAAACATATGAAAAACCATGAAATCCACTTGAGGCATTATAATTCCAATTTCCTCGAGAGAAGCAAAACCCTAGTTGTAGGTCAATTGCTTAGGAGAGGGGCTTGTATGCTCAATTCCTTGAGTAGTCTTGAGTGATTGAGAACCCTAGGAGCATGAGGAGACATCTTAAATCAATTGTCTTCAAAAATGGGAGGGAAAATTTTGGGGTACAACAGGGACCCTTGAGAATAATTCTTTGAGTGATGATGATCATGTCTAAGAATATATAGAGGAAGATGTTAATGACATCTTGAATGACGTTGAGGTGCATATGAACAAGAAAACTAATGAGATTTTTACGAGAAATATGGCCCAACTTGTAGAACAAGACTATGCTCAAATACGATGGGTTGAATTTGATGAAGCTTCTACTCCTATTGATCATCTTGAAGCCATCATAATGTTTCTAGGTTTGTCTTGTAGCGTTATGTTCAGCTTTTATCAAATGGGTGTGAAAACGGGACTTCCTCAATAGGTACTTGAATGAGGAAGTCAATCAAGATGTTAGTAATTGTGTCAGTGAAAAATATGGTAATGAATATGTCAACTAGGATATGCCAAATAACTTGTATGACATGTTTGTGACTGAGTTTCCAACTCAGAGGAAAGATGAGTAAGTTGCCAAGATTAATAAACAGGATGTGATACTAAATGGTGTACCTCTTTAGATGATTGTTCTAGTTAATGTTCCAAAGAAAAAATATAAGAATGTTGACTTCAAGAAGAATAAGACAACTGAAAAGGTAAGCCTCTATGATAAAGATACCTTTGTGCAAGTTAATGCGGATAAGCTTGTTGATTATGTGAATAAAGACAAAGAGGCTAATGATGTTGATACAACTCCTACTGAGAATATTGTTGAATCAATTAAAATAAACATTAATCTAAATGTTGAACCCCATGTTGAAACATCTGGTGAACCATCTAGTGAACCACATGTTGAACCTCCTACTGAACCCAATACTAAACCAATTGTTGACATACATGTATTTGATACGTTTTAAATGATATCTTAAATGAAGATGGTTCCATTGAAAACTTGATGGATGAGGACCCTCAAAATGAAGAGCCTAAGAATTAAGGTGAAAATAATATGGATAATCTGATCAAGATTTTGACCAAGGAAAATGAATTTGAGGAAGAAGAAGAAGCTGGAAGTGAGGAAGAAAAGGAACTTGCAAGTGAAAATGAAGAAGAAAATCATGTTGAAGCACTGAAGTATAATGAAATTATGGAACTTCTTAGAGATACCCAGTTGTTGAAGATATTGTTAAATGTTAGATCATGTTATCTGTAATACGGTGGGAGAACTGACTTATTTTTGTGTTTTATCGCAAATGTTATGGATAGCAAGAGTCGCCATCAACTTTTCTTTTATCCAATAAGGAAAGGGTGAAAAGAACAGGAAAGACCTTGATAGATTTTGAGTTTGGGGGTTAAGTTAAGAATAGGTAAGGTGTTAACACCCTTTTCATCTGTAGTTATCTACGGGCTCTTAATCACTTAGCTCACTTTGAAAATATGCGTTTTTTGTGTTTGAAAATATTTTGAAATTTGCCAATGTAAGGCGAAACTTTGTAATGATTCTTGTATAGGTCCTCCAGAATGCATACAAAGTGTTTTAAAAATATCTTTGAAAATGTTTGTGAAATGTTTTATTTTAAAAGGTTTTTGTGAGCAAGCGATTAAAAGTTCTACCCACTCAAGGTCGTTCTTGTATTTTTCCTCCTCTTTTAGATAGTTTTATCGATACCATTAGTTAGTAGGAAGGCCTATCGTTGGATGTGAAGGGACATGCGAAGGGTCATTGTACAGTCATCGAAGGCAATTTGTAAGGACGCTTTAGAAATTTTCGTAAGGGACAAGATCATTTATCGAAAGGCAACATCGAAAGTGTCATCAAGGGACTATGATCTTTGATTCGAGAGACTTTGCTAAAGCGTCCCAACTTTCGAGGGACATGACTGTTTTTGTTCCAAAGGCAACAAGAGAGGTTACCCTAGAGGTGCGAGTGCGCGAGTGTGTTATATCATTTGGTTTTATCTTGCCATACAACCCTAATTACTAAGCACAAGCAGAGAAAAATAGAGGATAGTAAAGTGTGTAAAGTAAAGTCCTAAGTTATTACATGGTTTTAGGGCATATACATAATAGAGGCACAGGAAAGTAAACCTACAACTATTACATACTAGGAGTAATTATATGATTATAAAATACGGAGAAAATAAACTACGCTATTACAATTGAACATGCCCTATACACTTTATCTAAGGAAAATGTAAGAATAAGAAAAGAGGAAAATAAAAATATTTTTTGGATTTTTTATGGAAAAATAGATTTAAGATGAAAGTAATTAAACCTAAAAATTCTTATTGATTTTATAATTGCAAAAAAGGTTAATTAATTAAATTAAAGGGTTAAGAAAAACCTAAAACCTAATTTAATTAGGCTTTGTAAAAAAAGATTTTGTTTTATGGTTAAGTGAAAATAGGTTTAAGTTTGCCAAAGGGATTAGGGTTTAAGGGAAATGACAAACAAGGTTACAAAATAGAAAAAAAACATAAAAATGCCAGGGGTGGGTGTTGAACTCACGCCCTTAACCTCTTCCACTTTCAGCCTTGCCACTGCACCAGGCGCGCACCTGTGTTGGGAAAATGCGCGTGATGCAATACATATTAGAACCTGCAAAAAACAGGAAAATATGGGAAAATACCCAAAACACCAAAAGGAAGGGATCGAACCCACGCTTTGTTATAGTAAGACCTTATCATGTGTGCGCTTGCCACTGGGGTGGCTGTACATCCGATAACATAAATGAAAACAAATAATTATATAATAAAACCAAATTACTGGACTGAAGAAGCGCCGGAGCCCTAGGTCCAATCGTCTTCTCCGGCGACTATGTTTTTTAACCCTGCAAAATAAAAAACATTAGAGGTTCTAACGGACCCTACCCCCCTAATTCAAGCCTTGCGATCTCAATGGTAGTATTAGTTTTGGCCAAATCGTGATAGATTGTGACATACAAATAAAATAACTTAAAATAGTATGACCATGGCCAAACGTGATTCAGCCATTATGGGGGCCATGCGATGGTCTCATCTGCACATTGATACCTCAGAAACACATTAGTAAGGTTAGTATGCATTAAAACACAAGGAAAAACAAAAATGCAAATTCATGCAAGAATGGCCAAATGGTGATGCATGGCTATGTGTTTCAGGCCCTACAGTGCTTCAAGGATTGAATGGGACAAGTATTTGGCCTTGAGGTAGGCTGCAAGAGAGGGTTTCAATTTTCCCTAGTTTTGGGAATTTTTGAGATTTTTGGAAAGGCTTCTTGTGCAAGGGTTTCGTGTGGCCTCTTTTTTGAAATAATGTGAATATATAGAGCTGAATTAGGTCAAACAAATGTGGGCTTGGACCTTGTATGAAAGCCTTTTATTTTATCCTTTTAATTTTGACTTTAAATAAATAAAATAAAAAATAAATAGAATAAAAAACAAAGAGGTGTATAAATATGTTCAGAGGTTCATATTGAGGCCTTATGCACGTTTGGACCTTGAAACATCAACCCATTAGCCCAAAACTCATGTTTCGTCACTTTAGGTTTCATGCACTTTCTCAAAATTTCCCAACATGCACCAATCATAACTCTCTCAATTTTTATCATTTAAAGGTGATATTGGACCTTTTGGAAAGCTCAAGATGTCATATACAATCTCTATTTGATCATTTTTGCATTTGAATATTTTAACTTGATGTAAGTTTCTTTGACAAAAAGTGTCTTTTTGTTGACTTTTGAAATGATCTATAATGTTTTGGCCCATATCCCTCAAATGAAGCATTTTTTGGACTTGAAATTAGAGAGGCATAGTTGTTGAGAATTTAATTTCCTTCAAAATGAGCTTTGGTTGAGGAAAATATGATGAGGCATGTGGAAGTTATGCTTGGTCAAAGTTTAGTTGACTTCTCCTTAAGAAAACCCTAATTTCGTAACTTTTGACTTTTGATGAATTGAGAATTTTCTTGATGAATAATGATCAACCATTGGTAAAATCATGAATGTGACTTGAAAACCTTGACGTTAACCAAAATTTTTGAAGTTTGATTGTATGTTGACCACAATTGACTTTTTGTCCAATGCAGTTGATTTTTTAGTCATCTGAGCAATTGACTGAGCAAACTGGTGATGTAAGGATTGAAACTTGGTATGAGCATCCCTTGAGACATATGAGGAACCATTAAATCTACTTGAGGCATCATAATTCCAATCTTCCTTGAGAAAAGTGAAACCTTAGTTGTAGATCAACTGTTTAGGAGGAGAGTTTGTTTGACCAATTCTTGAGCAACCTTGAGAAATTGAAAAATCCTAGAAGCATGGGAAGACATCTTGAAGAAAATGGGAGGACCAATTTTTGGCTACAATAGCTTCCCCTGTTCAATCTTCTTAAACCTGAAGAGTTAGATTGGCATGTCCGTCATTCGTGATCTGAAGGTAGAAGAGGATTGAACACTTACGTGCCCAGAAATTTGCACTTGCATGTGCATGGAGTAATACTTGGTTGATAATATTTCTTGAATGAGATTAAAGATTCCATTAGGGGAGATGATAGAGTGTTGTCAGAGATGGGCTTATAGATGCCATCCAGAGTAACCGTTGATAGGAGTATCAGAATGAGTCTATGCTTGACTGTATCTGAAGAATGCTTTTCAAAATAAATCTCTGGGGAAAATGCTTATCAAATTTAGTCTCTAAGGAAAATTCTTATCAAATTTAGTCTCTGAGGGAAATGCTTATCAGCTTTAGTATCTGAGGAAAATTCTTATCAGATTTAGTCTCTGAGGAAAATGCTTATCAGATTTAGTCTTTGAGGGGAAGGCTTGGTCATGTAGATAGTCGCTTTATCCTACTTCAGGAATTGATCTACAATCTGCCTTTATTGGTAAACTCGCCCCTTTTCGGGAATTCATACCACCTGGTCATATAGATATTTGCCCCGTCCTGTTTCAGGAATTAATATTTTCCTGGTCATATAGATATTTGCCTCGTCTTGTTTCAAGAATTAATCCCTGACCTGCTTTTTGTTGGTAAACTCCTCCTGTTTCGGTAATTCATACCACTTGGTCGTATAGATAGTTTCCCCGTCTTGTTTCGGGAATTAATCTACGACCTATTTGAAAGTTGTTGATGATATTCGTCTATTTGTAGACTTTACCTGAAAAGACAAAGTTAGTCTTTATGCAATGTCATGATGTATGTATTGTGTAATGATGCTCTCAAAATAGATGAGAATGTCATATTCGTTTCATATGCATATGATATGATATTTTGTGAATGATGTATGGATGTAAGATGTAGTTGACAGTAACTTTAGCTTCGTATAACATCCTTGGCTGGGGGAAATAAATCCCCGACTGTCGCTAGGGATGGAGAGTATGAATCTTCAATCTTGTTTAGAATGTCTCTGCTGGGGATTCCTGCTTCCCGTTTGAAGATACTCCGTTGGGGATGTTCGACTTCAGCTTAGGGATAGAAGAATTCCAGGAACATTGGTCGTTCATCATTGGATTGTTACGTACCCTAAATGGGGATAAAAGAGATGGATAATTCTCTAATATGCTATTAGGCGAGTTTTCAGATATGGATGTCCACTCTTCTGGGGAGGCCAAAGTTGAATGACATATATCCCAGGAGGAGAATCCTGTTGGGGAATCACAATGATCAAAGAAATAACCTTTGTTTCGTAAATAAACCCTGTTGGGGAAATAAACCCTGTTGGAGAAGAGAATTCTGTCGGGGATTTCAGTGTTAGAGAAATGAACTCTACTGGAGAATTAAATTCCTATAAACTATGTTGGGGTAATAATTTCTGATGGGAATTGGAATTTGATAGGTGTGCGAAGTAAGTTTGCATCGTATGTTGGGGAAATGATTAGACTTCCTTATACGCTTGGGGGAGATGATCAAGTGAACTGCTGGAAGATGCCTCAATTTCTGTCTG